GATGGTGAGTAAGGTGTTGCCAGATATAAATTTGATGTAATTATGCTTCTGTGTTGTATGCCTTGAATTTTGTCAATCGATTTATCTTTATTCGGTGCTAGTGATAACCGTGATGATGCAATGAATGTTGTGTGAATGAGGGACAGCATTATGACCACCAACTGTATCTTAGCAAAATATAGGTTAAAATATAGGAATTCTATAGGTTATTACTGAGGTTACTAGGTTGCTGTAGATTATACTTTGATACAGCCCCCTAATTATTTAATTGCACATGAATAAGGTGGCCCAGTAAGACAAACCCGACAACTATGTCTAAGGACAACTCTAGTAAGATCTGTCTAACGCATTTCAGGTGGCCTTGCAGTCATAGGATAACCTTTATTGGGCAAAAGCTGCCCATTTTTGTTCACCTAAAAATATTTTTTATTTAAAATTTCTTTACGTTCTTTCCTGTTCAGTGAAAGTTGAAATGGGCATCATTTTCTGAAATTTATTGGTAGGGTCCCAAATGATAATTTTTGCAACATTGAAGCATGGGAGTTGCAACTTGCCACATTCTCAAAATGAATGATGAGAGTCAATTTAATTCAGGAAACAGGTTAACTCCCCTGGTTCCGCCAGTGTATAGCTGGAATGGAACTTGCATATAAAGGCAATCATTTAAGTATTCGGTTCCAAGGTACAGGGGTGGCAGAAGGTGAAGCACAACAGGGGAATGTGCCACACAAAATTGTGGCTGGGGCACCTGGGTCGAAATTTCCAATAGTACCTTACCTTTCCGCTGTGGCTAGATTAGTTATATCTATTGATTAATGTTAACCAATGGTGTTAACTTCAATAACCACCTAAAATAGCCAGAAAATTTACACCTAAACCAAATTATGAACACTGATGGGTATAGGCACATAGCTCGGACAAAATATAACCAAACCTAACCTAACCAGACCTAACCTAACCTTACCTAACCTAACCTAAACTAACAAAACCTAACCTAAACTTACCAAAAATACACCTACAACCTACATTGGCAACCGAAAGCTACTTGTGCCGTTATTGAAAGTAGACTAAATTAACTAATAACAGGAAAATCAGCATTTAATTAGCTTTTTGATGTTTGCAAATAACTAACAATGATATTTCACATCGAAAAACACCTATACTATACCTACATTTTTACTAATGTTGGAACAGGTACCGTTGGAACTTTTCACTGACACCCGACATTTAAAGAAGAGCATATGGAATGGAAGATGAGTTACCGCATTATTGCAGATAAAATTGTTAACATTGATTTTCTTCTATGGGGGTTTCAATTCTTGGGGATGCTTTTCTATGCGAGAATTAGATATTTACTTTGCCCTTACATCCTGAGGTGCCTTCCGCGGTCCGCCAGTGGCCCGGGAACGTTTGAAAAGTTGAGGGGGCAGGTTAAAAAGTTGAGGGGGCAAAAGTTAAAACTCAAAAGTTCTATATTTCTTTCTTTCCATGCAACGCCATAAGGCTAATGTTGAATTTTCCCGAAAGTTGGAGGGGCGCTGCCCCTCCAGTCCAAAAGTGGGAGGGGCAAATGCACCTGCTGTCCCTCCTCTTCCCAGGCCTATGCCTTCTGCTGCTGCAGCTTAGACATGTAGTTTAACTACCCACTGACTAAGAATGCAGTTCACATTGCCTTACTTTAATGGATCACAAGGTGAAACTCTTGATTATCACTTGTCTAGATATTAAGTAATCCAGATACTTTTGATATCGATCAATAGAGCAGCTCACACTTAGTGTGTGCTGTAAAATCTGACATGGGAGATGTGTTAGGCAAGGGAAAAGCAAATATTTTAGGCCCACCCCACTTCAGTTGGGAAAACAGTAATATGTTCCTTTTTTTTTAAAGCTTCTAGCAGGCTTTCGTAGCCGCCGTTTCTAGTCGGAATGTAAATTGGCGGAAATGGCCAAGATAGGCCAAGGTGAAGGAGTTTATGCCCTGGTTTATGGCGGGCAGCATTTTTGGAAATCTAGAATAAAAATTACGATTTTTTATTTGAAACAAATAATGTGAGTTACATTGTAGGTTTTTGGGCAAGTCACTGTAGTATGAATCAACAAATTATCTTCCAAAATAGCAAGAATGCAAAGCTCTCCGGGTTACCTTGGCCGTTTTTCCGCCTATTATATTTGGGCTATCTCGGCATTTTCGACACTACCGCGGGTAACTACTGGCCGCATGACCGGAGATAGGCCTGTTTATCTTTAAGAATCAGTAAAAAAGGAGATTTGTTTGTACAGTGGCTTGCAAAATTAATTTTTGATAAGTAAATCCCTGGCCTAAGACCTATCCCTTTTCGCAACTAGCGAGTAGACCGCATCATCAAACATCCGTAGGTTGTAGTTTAGATATAGTTAGGTTAGGTAAGGTCCTGTTAAGTCTGGTTTAAATATGTTTATTATTCCCATTTTACTGTTTAAACGACATTTAATAGTATATTTCATAGTTTTACTGATATTTCCTTTTTGGTCTTATGACGTCATTATTGCCCACACATTGCATATGTAGTATTTTTCTTTTGTGAGTCATTTCATCCTTGATTAGGCGCGCATTGTTGGCATGACCCCGTTACGAGAAGATTTCAATTTTTGTCGATTTTTATAGATTTTAGGTGAGTTAGTTATCAAAGTGTTTAATTTTTGATGTTCTGTGAATAATTGAAAGCCATCAAAGTGTGATCTAATGCACTGAAAGCCATAGGTGTGGGAACAGGGGGGGGGGGGACGGCCGGGCCATCACCATGGCCCACCCACCTTTCAGCTACGTTACAATCAGATCGGATACTCAGCTCGACTTGCCCCCCCCCCCCCCACACACACTTCTCAAAACGTTCCTACACCTATGCTAAAAGCCATTTTTGGAGGGTGGTGTTATTTTCCAAAATTTGACAAGGCCTTTTCCGTCCCGATTTATGGAAGTTTCATCCCTATTTTTGGAAAATGCCCTTCTATTTTTGGAAGAGCATACTAAAAAAATGGAAGCTTCCAAAAATGAAACAGATGGCCACTGCCACTGTTTACCCAACTGATTTCCAGTCTGCAAAACATGGCAGGGAGCTCGACAAGATTTTCAGGGCAGACAAAGTCCTGCCCCGAATCAGAATGCTGAGTCCAGGGGTAGCCCAATTCCTGCCCCTAATGATGCAAATAATGTAATGATATAATGATGTAGGAAGCAGTGAGAAGCTGAGAAAATCACTTCCGTCAATTTTTTAAACTTCTGCACCAGATTTTCCTGCTTCTGCCCCAGTATTCCGGAAACCTGCCCCTATTTCTGCCCCGACCTGCGGTGTCTGCCCAGACAAGATCTCGTCGAAGAATGCCACATTTTGCAGACTGGACCAGGACTGATTTAGTGTGGTGATCACCCAGCTATATCACTATTGTTAGCAGGATGATTGGTGTACCTACCTATGTATGGATGGATGTATGGATCAACTTCATGATTTGCCAGCTGATTTGGTTATCAGTATTGTGATCAGCCAGCTGACAGCCTTTTCAAAAAGTTGTTCAGCCAGCTGACTGCATAATCATTTTCATGATAAACCATAGGGCTGTTCGGGTGCTGCAAAATATTTTGCGCGACTGTGACATCACACTTGTATGATGTCACTGCCCATCCCGTCGAGCAAAATCTTTCGCAGAACGCACCGAACACCTCAACATATTTTGCGCGAGACAATCGTGCCGCTCCATTCCAGCAAGCAGCGACGTAATAACTAATGAAAAACTTCACCAACCCATTTCCAATTTATGCACCGACAAAATAACACCAAACACTGCATAAATTCACTATAGTTAACACTGCACACTTCGCCACTGTACGTTGTCTGCGCCAAGTCTGCACCACTTTTGCCTCCTGCATCCTGAAATTTTAGGATGCGCGAAGCTGAAAGATTTTGCAGATGCCGATGTCACACATGTGACGTCATACGGTGGTGGGCGGAGCATAAGGCCTGAAAGGTCCCTACTGCGCATGCATGCTGCAAAATTTTACAATAGGATGTGCGGGCCGAACAGCCCTCATCATGGAGGGCATCTTTTCCTTATCATGTTTTTGATTGTGTTTGGGATCTGGCTACAGGTGACATAACCTTTGTGAAATTTTGTGATTTTCCAAAAGTGCTGCAAAATAGGCGTAAAATGATCACATTTGTGATTAATCACATTTGTGATTTCCTCCCCGTAGTTTGCCCAACTGAATCATAAGTCATAACAGGCTTTCCTCTTTTCAGGCAACTGTAGAAGTGGTTCTGCGTTGTACAGTTCCATTATGTCTGTTTTCTTCTAGCTCAATTGCTTTGTTTTGTCAGCATATCAATAACCACTTCAAGGATAAATCTGAGAACTGCAACTTTTTTCTCTGTCCGCGTTGTACACAAGGGTTCACAACTGGACGTTACTGGCTGAGACATTATGAAAGAACCCATGCTGTCAAGCAAAGTACGTCACAGTCGCACAAAGAGAAAGGAAGGCAAAGTCTGGAGGAGTCACCTTCAATCAGTACTCATTGTCAGGAAGAAGCTGAGGTTGAGACTGAGGCCTGGTGCTTGGATGATCAGGGTGAGAAAGGCTCTACAGCAAAAACTGAAGACAGTAGCCGGGAGAAAATAGCACGTTTCTTGCTTCGATTGCAATGTGAGCATGGGATGTCACGGGCTGCAACATCTTTCGTGGCTAGTGAGATAGGAGAAATCGTCGACACCGCTCTTAAGGAGCAGAATGAGAGCAGAGCATCAAAGTCGTCTTCAGTTAAGCAGGCTTGTGAAGAGTTTGCAAGCGAGTATAAATTGAGCAAATTCTGCCATGAGGAGCTCTGCTACATTGCACCTACGACTCAGATCCTTACCACAGGGGGTGGTGAATTCCAATCCAGCTATCAGTATGTGGATGTCAAGAAACAGCTGACAAGTCTCTTGGAAAATGGCAGGCTGGAAAAACTGCAAACGGGACAGATTGGTCAAGCTTGTGCTCTACTTTGATGAATTTGGTGTGTGTAACCCTCTGCGGAAGAAAGCATCTGATTATAGTCTGGGTGGTTGCTATTTTGCGGTCGATGAGGGCTTGTCAATGTCGGTGCTGAGTGACATTCATCTCCTCCTACTATGTCCTACAAAACTCATCAAGCTTCATGGTTTGAACACAGTCATGAAGCCTGTGACAGATTCCCTGTGTGACCTCTTGAACAATGGCCTGGATACTTGTGGCACTCATTTTGATATCAAAGTGGAGTTTGTGTGTGGTGACAACCTGGGAGTGCATAAGATGGCGGGCTTCCAGGAATCATTTTCGTCAGGGCAGCGACCATGCCGAACATGCCACGCCACAAATGAGGACTTTGGTACAAAGCTCACAGAGCAAGAGCTGACCCTTCGTACTGAGGAGGAGTACCAAGAAGAGCTGAACATGTGTGAGAATGGAGACAATGAGGAATCTCGAAAAGCATTTGGTATCAACTCAAAATGTGTGTTTGATGAGCTGAAAGACTTTAAGGTCACAGAGATGTTTCCACCAGATATCGCGCACGATCTGTTTGAAAGTGGCGTAGTCAATCATTCCTTGGCTCTGGTGCTATCATACCTGATTTTTCAAATCAAACTCTTCACATTCGCCTCAGTTCAAAAGGCTATGAAATCCTTCTCATATGCGAGAGTCGACAAAGCGAACACTCCTCCCATGCTTCAAGCAAAGGGGCGCAAAGTGCTCGTCAAAGGCACTTTCAGTCAGTGCTGGACTTTCCTCCGAGTTCTCCCTTTCATGATCGGTCCACTGGTCCCACCAGATCAAAAGGCGTGGCTTCTTGTGACCGGTTTGCTTTCTCTTGTACAACTCATTTGTGCTCCACGTATGGACGGTGAAATTCTTGCAAGAATGCAACCTTCAGTAGAGCAGTGGCTGCGTGAGTTCTGTGGAATGTTCCCGGACTTCAAAATCAAGCCGAAGTTCCACTACTTATTACATTACCGGCACTGGGCAGCACAAATTGGTTCCTTGAGGAAAGCTTGGACTATGCGTTTTGAAGCTAAACACCAGCAGTTCAAGATCTACGCATCTCGAGCACACAACACCAAGAACATTTGTAAAACCCTCGCAGTGCGACACCAAGAAGCGGTAGCTGCATGCGAAGGAAAGCAAAAGAAGATGATGGGGAAGAAATGCAAGCCATGCCTAGTTACAGGTGCATTCGGATGGGAGGTGGATGACCGAGCTACGTACACCAAGATGGCAGTGCTTGCGGGACAGAAGTACTGCGTCGATGATGTGCTGATCGTGAGAAACCCGGCTGCTTCAAGCTCAGAGAGCTGTGATCTTCTTCGCGTAGCATATTTTCAGTTTGATGCAGTAAACCATGTCAAAATCATCGGTGACGTCTTGAGGGCGCTTTCGTTTGATGAGCACTATATGGCATACCGTGTGACTAAGGGCGAGATGATGATGATCCCTTCTGCTTGGATTTTTGACCCCACTCCGCTGGCTACTTATTCAGTGCAGACCGCAAAATACGTGCCCCTCAGGTACCAGATACCAGGTCTCCGAATCACCTCTGAAAGGTGAGTAATCTGTGCATTTTGCTTCAATTTGAAGTATCAGATTTACTGCGAACTCGCGACTGCTTGTATTGAGCAGTATTGCAGCTATTTGCTTCGCTGTTATGGCTATTGTGAGTGCAAACTTACACTCACTCGGGTCTTACACTGGCTCTGATATCTGACATGTAGCTAGCGGCCAGTTATGTGGCTTCCACGCGTCCATGGTGTGAAACTATTGCATGAACGCACGTGCACACACCGCCCCTATATCTCGGGAACGGATGAGGCGATTGTGCTCAAATTTGCTACGAAGGTAGAGACTGATCCGACATGCAGCTTCGACAACACTGGGGGCGTCACTGCACGTGCTTACCCCACCTCCTTCGAGCCGGGTCTTGGCTTGAATAGATTCGAGGTTAATTGCTGAATCTTTTTTGAGGATGGAGATGCTAGTTCGGAGCATTGTGTTACATATGATGATGAAGATGATTAGCCAGATGCTCATTATTCAGGATCAAAATTGATAGAATAGTTGTATTACGTTTCACCCACGGGGCTTCTTCGGATACATATGACAAACATATGTATCCGAAGAAGCCCCGTGGGTGAAACGTAATACAACTATTCTATCAATTTTGCTCCTAAATAATGAGCATCTGGCTAATCATCTTCATCATCATAATTGCTGAATCTCCAGTCGTTAACTTCTATCCGACATGACGCGTGTAAAATACTCTGCAAAACCTCTCTTTTGCTCGGTCGTGCACCGCTCAGAAGGCGTTATATGGTTATAAAACGTCGTTTTCAGCGTTCTGGATGACATTCAGAATCGGCATTGTCTCAGCTTTTCAAATAAGCTATGTCTGTCTTTTAGGATTGGGATACCCGATGTTATCCAACCACCCGTGAAGTGAGCTGTGCAACCCACGTGTCTAATGTGTGCGTAAATAGTAAACCATGTGCTGTTTCGCTTGCTGTTTCACCCACTCCATGGCTATCGATGATTTTAGGACATTGTAGTTAGATAATTAATGTAACCACTTGTCATATTTTTTTCAGCGGTCAACGATGAAGGCGCTAGTAAACCATCGAAGTGCTGCGCGCGTCTTCGAATTCGAGTCTGTCCTGGACCTTGTTCAAAAGGTTCGAGCGTTCTTCGGTCTGCAGGTTAGTTTATTGTTTGTTTGTTTGTTTGTTTGTTTGTTTGTTTGTTTGTTTTTTTGGAAGAGTGACGGAATAATTTTAGTTAACGGTGGGACTCAATGTCGTGTTTCAAGTAAAAGGCTGAAATAACGTTTTTTTTTTTGCTCACAGACCTTAAAATATAGTACCTAATAGTATTTTGTACTATATTTTAAGGTCTGTGAGCAAAAAAGTCCATATTATGGAAAGTATAATACAGCGGCCTTCGTAAAACAATACCATTCGGAGAAAATTTAATTAATGACATTAAAAAAAATATTTACACAATTTGTTTAAGGTAATGCAAAGCCATATACCTACGTAAACCATAATGTTAAGCTGCTGAACGAGGCTCAGATTGAAAATAGGCTGATGTGTTGGAAATACATAGTCTGTCTCAAATGCAACATCAACCATTTACAGCAGCTGTTGTCAGTAGTCTAACAGGAAAGAGAAGAGTGCAACCAAAGGCTCTATGATTATGCGTAATGATTGAGTATGAAAATGTCGGATGTGTTTGCCTATCATTTCCATCCCCCTCTCCACCTTGGAGCGACTAATGTGTGTGGTCTACTCCCGACCTGGCTACGAATGAGGTACATGTTTTGTCCCCAGGGTGGCGAATGGGATCTGGAGATCTATGATGACGACTGGTCCTCGTGGGTCCTGCTGAATGAGGAAGATGCGATAACTGGTGCTCGGCCTCGCATCAGGACCGTCATGCGTGGCGATCTGGTTGTTCTTGAAAGGTAGGACATCGATCTCTGTTAAGTTAGGTTGTTTTGAGAAATAAAATGTTGCTTATGCAGAATGCAGTTATAAAACTCTAAAAGAAAAAAAAAAACGCCCATAATCATTTGCAACTGAATTTGCTCAGTTGCGTTCGTAAGTATTGAACAAGCTCGGCCTATGAATGTTTGCGTAGTTGGAAATTGTCCTGAAAAAAAATATGTTATCCTAATCTGGTATTGTATCAAACATCTTCTCTCATCCATTTTCAGCACTGGGACGACATCCACTTCGTCAGTGGTGGTTTCGCAGCTGGATACACCGGAGCCTCCAACGTCGCCCGAACTCCGTCGATCAGGGGAAGACGCAGAGATCCGGCCGAAGTCGGGAAGCGACGCTCTGGCCGAATCTCAACAAACCGCAGGAGTGTCTCGGTGAGTCTGTCAGGCTGACTTTGTCTTTATGCGTTTGGAATTAAACCTTTCAGCGCTTGTTTAATCGGGTGTGTCGAGTTTTCATCGTTATTTCTACATTTATTTTAATCGAATGAACCACAGGCCTCTATAAACCTCAAGAGTTCTATGAATGAATCTGTATGAAAAGTTACGTAATTTTATATATTTGTTAGTAGATCGACAGTCTTCCTTCCCGCGGATCGCTGCGCCGAACCGTGCCACCCAATCCCAGCTTGTCCACCAGTTTGGTTGCCTGTTGCCAAAATGCTCCTCAGACAGGTGACCACTGGCACTGACATCTATTCCGATCGCGAGGATAGACTATACTGCGCCGCGGCAAGACTTCGACTGTGGTGACTAGGCGCAGTAGTCGGTCTCTGGTGCGGCGACCCACCAGTTACTAATGCCATTTCGGTTCGTTTTCTTCGCAGGATGGATACTATGGAAGTCCTGGATGCCATGGAAGTGATCCGGTTTGACGACAGCCAGCTGAGACCTGGACTCCTCGAAAAGCTTCGAAGCAAAAAGCCCGGCTCACCTCTGACCAGGACGGAGTGGAGCGAAGTGACGACAGTCATCGTGACGTTCGAGAAAGCTTGTAACAGGTATCATCCCCGTAGATAACGTGGTGTTGTTGTAGCGCGGGTTGAGGACATTGAAGTTAACATAAAATACTATTATCATGCATTTTTTGGTACATTTTTTATTCAGCCCTAGCCGTAACCCGCGCCGGGCCGGTACTCCATTTGTAACACAGCGGGCCGCGGAGCAGGGGGTTTACACCCCCCGTCTAACTCGACTCCTGAGCATCGTTGAGACAAGCGATAGGCGGCGTTCGAAAGAGCGTTAAAAACCAGTAGGAAAGTATTTTTGTCATGTTTTGGTCAGACCAAAAACTAGGTCACCAGAGGTCACCGAGGAAAAAATGTTCTTTTTTACTTTTGATAGTTTTTCTTCAATAACTTTTGATCCAGAAAAGATAGAGGCATAATTCGCACGCCATTGTTCTCAGCTCGTCAAGGCGCGTTGAATGATATATAATATGACCTCAAAAGGTCAAGTTGAAAAGTTGACCTTAGGGCAAGGTTCATCTCATTCGATGCGCATTGACGAGACAAACACAATAATCGTCGAACGGAGTTTATCTCAATTCAATCAAAAGTTATTGCACAAAAACCGCTTGTGACCTCAGGTGACCTCGGATGACCCAGTGACACCTTCCTGCCTTCCACCTTTATGTCGGTTTTACTGTCTCGTGTGGTGTGCTTTCATGTTTACATATTTCCTTTAAATGATGTCTTATGTCTATGCCTTGCCCTGAAAACTCCTGTTCTAGCGTCTCCAAGTCGTTAAGCTCTCCCATGCCCTTTCTTTTTCCAAGCGTCCTGAACCTTACTCATGCTCGGTACATGGAGCTGGCTGACCGCGCCCTTGTTCAATGGCCGGCGCTGCACTTTGGGTGCAGCCCGAAACAGGCACTGGTAAGCACTTATTGCGTTGCTGTTTGATTCCATCAACTAATAGAAAATGACATCGGTCCAGGTCCGGGACAGTTCGTGAACTTATCTAATCGAACTCAGCTGAATATACTGAACGGAGGCACTTAGTCACCATGTCCTGAATTGGAAAATAGGTAATTGAACTGAACCTCAAGTAAAGTCGATCTGAATGAACTGAACTGAAGCGTTTGCGAACTGCTCCGGCCCTGGATCTGGCCATACTTGTATGTATATTCAGGGCTGCGGAGTCGACCAAATTTTAGCGACTCCGACTCCGACTACGACTGCGTCTTGAAAAAATCGACTCCGACTCCAACTCCGACTCCGACCCGCCCTACTTTGACATACCTGCATGACCAATGTTTCTAAATATGGGCGGCTTCTTCGCACTGGTTTAAATGCGGAGTCGAAGTACCATTTAGTTCAGTCTCCGTGTGAACCATGCATTGCCTCTATATACCAGCTGCAGTGGATGTTGAACGCCCTTAACGTTACATCTACCCTTGGGTTGTAATTTATGCACTGCTTTTCCTGTCTCAGTCGCAGGTCAAAGCAAAAATACAATGGCGCGTAAGGAATGAGAAGCGACGAGACGACGGAAGTGATGCCGAACTCCAAGCGTCATCAAAGAGGTTGTCACGCGGAAAAACATTCAAGGGATCGCGATATGAAGGATTCGAAGGCTACAAGGGTAAGCATTGGGCATTGTGAAATGCAAGACAGCGATGTAGTATGATGTAGTACATGTGACTGATAAGCGACTAGTGGTGAATATTTTGCCCATCTGCAAGCTTTGCATTGCATATATTAAAGGTAGTGTGCCACTTTGCATTGGCCATATGAAGTTATTGGCATGGGCGAAGAGAGCGGTCTCTCTCTCTCTCTCTCTCTCTCTCTCTCTCTCTCTCTCTCTCTCTCTCTCTCTCTCTCTCTCTCTCTCTCTCTCTCTCTCTCTCTCTCTCCCCTCCTCCCCCTCCTCCTCCCCCGCTGGCTCTAACATTTCGTATGAACATTTCGACAGAGTACCTTCCGCCTATGCCGGAGGAAGACGTTCAGCATCTGAGAAACCGCCTCTTGAAGCATCTACACGAGGCTAACCTGACGAGCGAAGGCAAAGCTGAGCGAGAGGCCCTGATCAACTCGACGTTCGCAGACAGGCGCAGGCATGTGGTGACGCTCCGCACCAGCATGCGCAAGCTTTTGGAGCTGTATCCAATCTTGCGGAACCCAGACGAAGTAAGTACTAAGTATGCCTTGGAAGTTGTAAAATTGTCATTATATTCCTACTCTCTAATTCCATAAAATGTCCCCTGTGTGTTGCATCGTTTCGGCTTTTATTCGTCGCCCACCATAGCTTTCTGACGTTTTCTCATCCATGGAGGATTCTATAATATGACTTAACTGTCCTCTAATTATATTGTTGATACCGGTTGTTCCAGATCTGGCGTGAGCTGGCCAAACTGGAGGGGGAGACGGAGTCGTCTAAGCTTGGTGACTACAGGCGCCGCCTGAGCGACTTTCTCACCGCCATCCAACTGATCACAGAATGTCAAGGTAAATACGGTAAACCATTCACGTCAACTATTGCCCCCCCCCCCCCCCATTACGACCATGCAAGATTGCTGCCGAACTACTAACCTATGGGCGACGTGAGACACGTCTCTGCTCATTACTTTCAAATCTAGTACCTAGCAGATGAATGAAAATTAAATTCAAAATACTACTCTGACTTGTGTCGTGTGCTTTGTCTGTGCATTGTTTATCCTTGTTTTCAAAACGCTCTTAACTAGTTAGGTTTAAGCGTGCAAATTACTCTGTGACGCCTGTTTCTCTCGCTCGCTCTTTCATCGCCCATGAGGTGGCTCACGGCTGTTTATTTGATCGAATTAACAGTGATATGGTCAAAAGCAGCCAGCTAGTTCAGTATGCGTTTCATAAACGTGACACCTCTTGGGCTCGTTCGTTCATCGCCGAACAGGTGTTATACTGACATTTGTGCTGTTATACTTCAGCGACCTTTATTGGATTGGCGAATCACTTGATCCTTGACCTGACGACCAGACCAGTTTTCACATGACCAGGTGAAAACTGACCCTCCCCCCCCCCAAAAAAAAATAGATATCAAAATTTGTGTTGTTAGCGGCATGGTCTCGAAATTCGAGGCCTTGGTGGCATTTTATACGATATCCGTGAGATCGGAAGACCTCAAGCAGCTAGCAAGTAGCAGTGTTATACTGTTAAAGGTAAATATCAGTCTGAAAATTTACCTCTATTTCAGACACCGACTGCGTGGAGTCTCTCCTCTACTACCTAGACGCGAACCCCGAGGACATCTTTGAGGGATCAGGAAGCGCGCCGCACTACCAGGTCAACGACGACGGGTCCATCGGCCTTTTCGTCGAGGGGGTCTGCTTGACAAGGTCGGTGGACCGGAGCAGCAAGGCTGATCTCCTGCTTCTGTGGGCAGCGATTTTCCCAGTGTTCAACCAGAAGTGCCCCGTGTCTAAGGCTAAGAACGCTCTGATATTTATCACGGTGAACATCTTTGAAAAGGGGGGCAACCAAACTCTTTCCAACCGTGTCCTGGGACGAGTCCAGCGTCTCAAGCAGCTCTGTGCGTAGCTCTGTGAGTAGCTTAGAACGGAACCTGAGAACGGAACGCCTTTGCCGCTCGGCTGTTAACACTTTCAAACCGTGTGACACGTCCAGCGTCTCGAGCAGCTCTGTGAGTAGCTGAGCACAGAACTTGATAACGGAATGTCTTTTCCGCTCGGCAGTTAACCCTTCGAACCGCGCCCTGGGACATGTCCAGAGTCTCAAGCATCTCTGTGCGTAGCTCTGTGCCTATAGCTTAGAACGTAACTTTAGAACGGAGCGCCTTTGCCGCTCGGCAGTTTCCTACAGAAGATTACTTTTTTAGGTTCATTTTTAGTACAATAAGAGAAATATTACTGTATGCAGTTGTAAGCTTGCTGAAAGGAGCTTGAATGCAGTTTTGAATAAACATGTTTGATGAGTTTAATTCGATTCGTTTTTTTGGGGGGGGGGCGGCTGTGAAAAGAGGTGACTAACACGCACATTAGTTAAGTTACACGCCTGTTCTCAAAAATGCATTTAGTTTATTAACACGCACAGCTTAGTTAGCTAACACGCAATATGTGTGTTTTGCGTACACGCATATAGCTAGTGAAAAGTGGCCGTGTGACAAACACATGTGTTACCTAACACGTCTGTAGTTATTAACAAAACACACCGATGATAGTCAATAAACACGCTTACACGGCTTATCTTAGTAACCTGGCAAATATTCGAAAACTAGGAGGTGTGTTTCAAAACACGCTATTCAACCTTTTGCGTGTAATTGAAAACACACTTAGTCATGAAATGCGTGTTTTGCTTACACGCCTATGGTTAGTGAAAAGTGGCCGGATAACTAACTAGTTGGTAAACTTTTTTTACAGTGTATTGCAGAAAATTGTTTCTGCAGAATCGTCTATTTTGGCTGTTTATGTCCCCTGCAGGCTAAACCGTGGACCTTACGTGAAATCTGAGGACATGCTAGCGGAAGAATGTTAAAAGAACGTTTGCGCCGTTCCGTGTCGCTGTAGGGCTCTATGCATTCCTGAGCCATGCACCGTGGTTTGTCAAAAGTTGTCGAAGTTTGACGGCGGTCTGAAGGTGTGTTGACTTTGCTCGCTGCAGTGGACGGACCGGCGGCGGCGGCAGCGGCCCAGGCACGCAGCGGCGCGCTGTCGCTCTGGTGCGCAGTCTGCTGGCCTGGCACGACGCCGACCCGCGCTTCCAGGAGCAGTGTGCGCGCGCACGCGTGGCACTCCTCTATCTGCCCCTGGTGCCGATCGTGCTGGACAGTCTGGATCAGATGTTTGGATGGGGTGCAGCAGGTGAGTTCTGCGCCGAATCGACATTCATAGCCAGCAGTCGAACCGTAGCAAAGTTTCGATTGATATTGTAGTCGATCAGTTTGTTACACCCGATGGCGGCTGTGTATGAATTTTACACTTTTTTCTAGCCCGGTGACGGCTGTTGAATAATACAGCTAACAGTGTTTGGGTGTCTCGGCGATAACTGTTGTTAATTACAGTTGCCAAATTTCCCTGCCGCACTACCGGCATGTCGGTAATTTTTCACTACCGCAGGTTTTTTTCGTGGTATCTGGCATGTCTTGCCGGTAGCATGCCAGTATTTTTGATTTTGTACAAAAAAGTATCAGCATGTGATTCAAACTTTGGACACTCAGAGGCTCTCAAATTGTAATAACAGCAATATTAGCCACTGCAAAATATATTTTCTGGTAGAAGTTGTTCCAATGCTTATAGTGATGTCAATTTCAGAAATTTTGGAGGCCGATACCAAACCGATGCCGACCAAAACCACTGAAAGTACGAGTATACCGAAACCCAAACGATTTTCAGAAATAGGGGGAAATACCGACTAGGTACCGAATTCAGGGAATTAGCAAACAAACTCTTCAAACTTTCTCAAAACATACGATAAGCATTGAAAGGTAATACTTTAAAATAAGGTAACAATAACAAATCAGGGAATCTCTAAATTGTTTGCATTGCAAAAAAAAAAACACTTATAAATATATTGTGTAACTATTAAGAAATATTCAGGTCAGTTATTTAACTGGGATGTGGGTTCAAGTCATCTGCATGAGGTGTTTCGACAATAACTTGAACCCTGAATCTCATTCATGCCTGAACCATCAAACCTTCTTCCAATTCAAGTCATTCGAGTCCGGTCAAGACAGGGTTAAGTGTGTTATCATGATCCAAAAATGTTAATCGTTTAATTGTTTTTTGAATGACCTCCTTACAAAATTATACTTTTCATTCATGTATTTTTGTTTTAGATGAATTTTCGGCCACGGGCCATGATCACATGAATGCCAAATATAAGAATATTGGAAGTCAAAATACAAATTAGGTACAAGTCGAATCATCGTCAGTTTCTATCTTTCTACTTTTCGCGTGATAAGAATGACAGGCACTTTCACACTTGGTAATGGGTACACTCAAGTAATCGTTACATTCGCACATATCTGCATGGAAACATGAAAAAACACACTTAACCTCATCCTATCACTATAAAGGTAACACTTTGCTTTCCATGATACACATTTGGCACAAAATACTTGGGTATGAATTAATGACTTATGAATGTCCGTCATGATGTCTGCGGCGAGTGATAACAGCTACAAAATGTGCCAAGAAGATATGTTTCGGTTGAGAATCGGTCTGTGTTTGCGAATTTGGATAGATTCACATATTTTTCTGTGTGGATGGTCACTTGTCTTTTGCAGGATTTCTACCGATAAAGGTGTGTTCCCTGAAGTGTCAAGATACTCCTGATGAGTGGCGGTAAAATGATCTCCGATGGGCGTATCCGGTGTTTTGTTTTTAGCGTTTCTAAGGTGTTCGTTAAATCGCAGCCTGATGGGTCTTTTTGTCTCTCCTACGTATGTGACATCCTCCCCCCTTTGCACAGCGCACAGGTGATTTTGTAGACTACCCCAGAAGTTAAGCATTTACCTTTAAGACCAGACTCACAAGCATGACATGTCCGTGTGCCAGACGGGCATTGTGGCTGAGAGAAAGCTGAACGAGTTAGAGCGCTTTTGAGAGTTTTAGTGTTACGCCATGCTACGCGTACGTTTAGGCCTGACTTTTTAACGATGGATTTCACTTTGGCGTTTACAGCTTCATCAATGTAAGGAAGAGTTAAGTATCCGTCCAGAGAGTCGGGTTCTTTTTTGCGTCGAGAGGGTTGCCCTCCTGCATCTGAGTCCCCCCTATAGCTTTGTGCGACCTCTCTGTGAAGTCGTCGCACGAGCTGTTTCCGGTAGCCGTTGGCTTCAAATAAGTCCTGTATTTTTTGACAGGAGCGGGAGGTGGCGGCTGTATCAGAGGACACTCGCATAGCCCGTAGGAACTCTGAACGTATTACAGCCTTTTTCGTGGCCATTGGATGTGATGAGGTTTGGTGAATGATGATGCCTGAATGATTGGGCTTGATGTACAGTTCTGTTGAATATTTGAAATTGTTATCTACCGTTACTAGCGTGTCCAGAAAGGCTACTTTACCAGAAGAGAAGCTGTCCTCAAGAGTGAATTTGATTGTTGGATGAATTGAATTGAGATAGTCAATGAAACTCAGAAGGTTCTCGCGACCGTGTGTCCACACTCCTATGCAATCGTCAATGTACCTGCCATAGAAATCTGGTTTTAGAGACGCGTTTCTGATGGCGCTCTGCTCGAAGTGGTGCATGAAGATGATGGCCACAGGAGGGGCCACTTTGTTCCCCATGGCGATCCCCACTTGCTGTTTGTAGTGGTCGTCATCGAATCTGAAGGTGTTGTTCTCCAGAACGTGAGTCAGAAGTCGTGTGACGTCCTCCGTGGATAGACCGCACAGGTCGATATCATCTTCATGCTCCGCTAGAAGCTCGGCGACAGCAGATACAGCATCATTGAGAGGGATGCTGCCGTACAAGTTTGTCACATCTATACTGAAAAGTATGGCGTCTTGGGGCAGCTGGTGCTCTGGGTACTGCTCTCGTAGTCGGCGAAGATACTCATCTGTGTTTCTTAGATGAGCAGGTATCTTGTCGAGAAGTTGGTTTAAGATTCGCTCTAGTAGCCAAGACGTTTTTTCAGTGGGGCCACCGCAACTGGAAATGATGGGTCTAAGAGGGACTCCTGGCTTATGGTCTTTGGGCAGACCATAAAAGACCGGCGTTCTCGCGTTCGTTGAAGTCAAGTCCTTGATGAGTGACTCTGGAAGTTTATCTTTGCAAGTTTGTTTGAAGATTTGTTTCGTCTTTGCTTCGTTTTTGGCTGTGGGATTGCTCGAAAGCTTCTGATAATTAGTCTCATCATTTAGAATATCTCGCACTTCATGTGATCATGGCCCGTGGCCGAAAATTCATCTAAAACAAAAATACATGAATGAAAAGTATAATTTTGTAAGGAGGTCATTCAAAAAACAATTAAACGATTAAAATAAATGCCTTACATTCAGCAAGCACTTAACGAATTAAAAGATCCAAAAATGTTGACCAATTGACAATGATGGGCTATACCATTAATGTAAACAAACTCCTGATACCTACATGGCCGTGTTCGGGTCCGCGCAAAATATTTTGCAGAGTGTGAAGTCACATATGCGATGACGTCGGCCGCCTGGCTCCGCCCCCTCTCCGCCGGCACGCAAAGCCGAGGGCCACGCGACGCGCGGCGAACCGTGGCGCGGATGGACTGGTGGGTTTCGTTCAATACCTGAGTAAAATGCGTTCAAATGTGGTCAATACCAATGTGCCACTGAAAAGAAAGATAATGATAGCAAAAAAAAAAACACCATACTAACCACTTGCAATCAGAAATATGAGAGGGTAAACTTTAATCTGGGCCACGTTCGCCTCCTGAAGCTACTATTTTCTTCTTGCGCAAAACTGAAAGATTTTGCTCGAGGTTATGTCACACGTGTGACGTCATATGCCGAAGGGCGGAGCTTAGCACCCGAGGACCCCAACTGCGCATGCGTAGTGCAAAATTTTACAATAGGATGCGCTGCCGTCCCCTACCCCGACCAGGGCCTCGGCCTGTCGGGAGCAAAATTCAAAAAAAAAAAAAACACATTCGGCGACTAGGCTCCGACGGGTGCGGACGTGTTCTGCCACGGTCCGCATTAGTTAGGTTGCTCCGATCCGAATTGCGCGCGGGTTGGGTTGTTTCAAACAACAGACCGGTGCATTTCCCTCCCTTTTCCATCATCTCGTTTATTCAAGTCATTATTTCGCTTTGTCTTCTAAATTATAATATTAATATTCACATTCTCGTTCAGGGGCGGCGGATTCGGGGGGCAGGGGGGCAGCTGCCCCCCTGGCAAACTCGTGGGGGGGCAAAAGTATCTTTTTGCCCCCCCCCCCCATAATTTGTGACAAAACCTAGACAAGAAACATATACCTGATTATTCTGTTCGATCATCTGAAGATGTAACCAGATGCCCATATACTTTATCATACGTTGCCCTTCTTAAATGACAAGTGTTCGCGTTCAATTCACGTTTTCCTCTCTTCAACCTAGTTTTGGAGACATTATAAGCGTCAACGTGACGCAGCGGCAACCCAGGCCTTCAGTGAACGTTTACAGGGGCGTCGGATTATCGGATAGGTACGGAGCGGCAGAGGAGGCATCGTTCCCTAAGAAACTTCTGGAGGAGGGACAAACGTATATTCTTGCCCCTCCATAATTTGTGCCCTAAACATGAGGAAATTTCCATAGCCTGATATTGCAGCTATGCGCTCCTACAGTTTGTCCAACGGTGCCTTTTGAATATGTGTAAATGCTAACCCTGGCGGCCAAGGTGTTTACGCCTGTGGTCGCCGGGCGCCCCTCCCCAGCACGGGGCCGTCATTATCCCTTCCCTTCTACCTCCTACACATTAGATTAAACAACTGTAGGGGTTTTTTCCCTGCGCTCTTTGGCTTCAGCGCGGGGTTTTCCCCTTTGCAATAGGCGTCAGGTTTTTTGTTATTTAGGACTTTTTCCCTGACAATACACCCCACACCAGTACACTGACACCTTAAACAAGTGTATGAATATGTGATGTAAATAAATGTTACCGTTTCTTCATCTGTGTTTTTGTTCCGGCTTTTTCGGCACTTCGGCAAAAGTAAGTTCCCCATTAGATTTGCTCATACACGCTAAGGATAGGCTCCCACGTTGCTATTGCTTCCGGGTTCACGTAAACCGGCTTAACGTAAAACTTTGTTCCTGGCCAAAATTGCCAGATGTTATGACCCCCGGCTCCAGACTGGCTTTAGGCTGGCGGAGCAAAAAAAAAAAAAAGATGCGCTGCCCGAACACGGCTCAGTTCA